AGAAATGAGGAAATAAGGGGAAAATGTAAATAGAAAAAAGGCCGAAGAATGATAGAAGAAAAATGAACAAATTTGGGGGAAAATACAATACAGCCGAGCCTGACAGACTTGCACTTGCATTTATAAAAGGGACGAAGACCGATAAAAAAAATGAAAAGACAAATGAATTTGGGGGGGGGGGGGAGGTTTAAAATAAATTTGCATAATCATCGCAAATCAGTGGTAAATCTACGACAAACGGCAGAATTCACAAAGACGTTTGATGAGAAAGAGATTGTCATGTAGCCACCGATTGGGTGCCGGGTGCCGTGTGTAGTGTGTCGTGTGTAGTGTGAAGTGTGTAGTGTGTAGTGTGCTGTACGTGTACCTTTGGCTAACAATTCGGTGGCGGTACAGCGGGGCAAACTTACATTAGTTTAAAAGGACCGCGCAATTCAAACAATTGGCGGATAGCGAGTAGCGACGTGAAAACGCAAACTATGTTTATAATTTTGTACATTGGCAAGACCTGGTGGTAAACGGGGCTGTCAGTACAACGGGGGGGGCGGTATAACGAGGTTTGATTGTACATGTATTATATCTTGAAACGACAGCACCTAATCGCTCCCTTGTATCGACAATGCAATATAATATTCTCTCAGAACCCAATCAGGAAAACATTCAAACATATTTTTTTTTAATTCTATTATGTACAGAGAGGGTGTGGTGGCGAAGTGGTTAGTGCGCTCGTCTCCGAAGCGGAAAGTCCGGGTTCGAGCCTCGTTTCGGACACGGATTTTTTTCGCCCCCTCCTGCCCGCGCAGCAGTAATGGGTACCTGACTTCGAGTTGGGGAAGTAAAGGCGGCGTGGAAATGAACTGGCCACCCTACCACAAAATGCCGAAGGCCCAGGAAGTTGTCTCATTGATAAGGCAATCCCCAATGTCCGGATCGGATGCGAGAACAACTTTACACTTACTATGTACAGATTATTGGAATATTTCAATTTCTTTTTTTTTATATACACAAAAAGAAGAGCAGGATCAACTTTACCTGGTGCAGTTATTAGCAGCGTCCAAGTAGTTGAAGTGACCATTAGCACAGTTACAGTCTTCTGTTGGGCACAACGGAACATCGGCATCAAACGTCAAGGTAGCTGGAAAAGGGAAGACCATTATTAAATGTAGCCTCTGACTTAGCTAACGCCAGTACTTTGAAATTAGTCCAAAGGTAAAAAAAAAAAACACAACACCAACCATAATAGGTTAAATTGTCTTTATCAAGCATCCGTTTCTGAAACAATACATGATGCATACCATCGAAGAGTTCAAATTTAAGTGCATCACCTCTGTAGAAACCAATAGGCCGCTTTTAAACACAAGGGGCTATCCCAAAAAATGCTGTTTTGAGAAAATTGATTGTAAGGTTTTTGCCCCTTGTTCAGTTTCTTTAAAAGACAAGGAGAGTTTTCTCTATAAGCAAACAAATATACACGCCAATTAAACCAAACTTCTCCTATAGATCGAGCAATGTCCACTTTTGGTGTAGGTCAAGATTTCTGGAAACAGTCGAAATCTGGGTTAGCCCGCTTGTCCTTAAAAGCGACTAATTAATTTCCTTTAACTTCCTACTATCAACGTGACCCTTCTGTCATTAACTAAGTCTGCCGCATAATGAATTGAGTCCCTGGTGTTGTGATATTGAAGTGTGTGCAGGCAGGATGTGAGGCCGGGGGTGGGGGTGGGGGGGCAGGGGGTGGAAAAGGAGCAATATGGACGGACAACATCAAGGCAAGGTCAGGTGTGAGTATGGCCGAATGTAAAACGGCAGCCTGCGACCGTGAGCATTTTAGGGTCATAGCATGTTGACTTCAGAGCCAGAGATTGCACATCCACCTTGCCGTCAAGTGCTTCTAAAACTAATATTATATATATATATATATGAGTATAGCAGTCCTTGATATATATCTATCTATCTATCTATCTGTATCTATATATCTATCTATCTATCTATCTATCTATCTATCTATCTATATATAATCTATCTATCTATATATATATATCTTATAATATATATTTATTTATTTATATAT